ACACACACAGACACACACACGCTGCACATCGCCACACACACACACTGCACATCGCCTCACACACACACAGACACACACACGCTGCACATCGCCACACACACACACACACACACGCTGCACAAGTACACACCGCACCAGTAAACACATTACTCACAAACGCACACATAGTTGGTTATGATCCACATTTCCGGTCATTGGGCGGTGAGTCCTACTGTCGCAGGAGACGGACATTTCCTTTGACAACACACACTTTATACATTCTACAAGTGTCAGAAAACATAACCATTCATATGTTTTTGACCCAAACCTTTAGAGAAGAAGAGATTCTTTATTCTCATCTATACTAAAAAACTCTAGACTTAACTCTCTACTAAATAAAATAACATAATCTAATGTTATGCTAATGGCTTTAGCATAATAAGGAAGCGGTCTATAATCTGTAATGAGAAGTACAAAACCTCTAACCTTCTTTATCATGCTAAAGGTAAAGTAGGAGACAGGCTTTTAGTGACAGGGAAACTTGTCCAGATCATGAACTTATAACCGGCCTGTATTGATTCACTTGTGACAGAGCTGGAGTTGGCTGAATGATCTCACATATACATAATGCATACATAATGAAACCCGTTGGGTTTCTCCACAGCCTCTGTGTCTGTTTCCGCTGTAATACCAGAGGAACATCTTGGAATGGATTTAACTTTTCATTCACTTTGAGATTTGACGGTAATCTATAAACGACGCTCACATTTTCTTTTCCATGCGTTGATGATAACTGAGGGTTGTTGCCATGGTGATTCCCAACCGACAAATTAGCATACTGGAAAAGCATGAATGGGAAGAAAGAGGCATCTCTCTGTCACAAAGCACTGTTGGTTAATGTTTACTCTTAATGATATTTAAGCTGGAAACACTTTGGGAAGAAGACATTTTTGTATCTTTCTCATTTCTAAAAGTCCTTTCTATTGGCCAACATCATGCAGAGCGGTTGGAATATTCTCACGACTTCTAGACTTTCTCATAAAAAGAAAGTAACGATACAATAGTTTATATATTCTCACAACGATGTAGAACTTTAGCAGTTTTTTGGTTCATGTGGATTTGCCCAAACAGACTCAAAAATCTGACTTTTGACAACAATAGTTACCAATAATAGTTTTCAGCTTTCCCTACTGCCATTGTAGACTGATTTTATTCAATGAGACTTCAGATTCAGATTATTTTTTATTTGTTGAAAAACCACCTTGGAATAAATGTTTAAAAGTCCCCAGTGTGCAGTAGGGGTGTGACGATATATCGATTTTTCGATATATCGCGATACTTTCTCCCGCGATTCGATTATCGATATGCATTTGCCAAGTATCGATATCGATTTTGAAAAATAAAATAAAATAATACTTAATATATGGCTACATTACGCATCTCCATTCTATTTATCATGAAATAAAGAGTATTTTTTCTTTTATTTATGCCATAAATTGGCATATTGTATATTTCTGACCAATATATCAATAATCGTCATAATGTGATATTATCGTTATCGTGATATTATCGTTATCGTGATATTATTGTTATCGTGAGCTTTGTATCGTGTATCGTCAGGTACCCTTAGGTTCCCACCCCTAGTGTGCAGCAGACAAATATATAAATAAAACAAGGTTAAAAGTAGAGAAAAAATAGAAAAAACGGTGTCAATACAAGTCCAAGATCATAAGTATGTTTGTGCACTGTTGTGATGTCACATGACCTCTGCCGCAGCCCCCCCCCGGAGGTCCGGCGATGGGGGAACCTGAAGGAGACCCTGCTGCGGTTCCAGAGGACGCAGGACTTCGACGCCACCTTCGGGGCTCTGACTGAGGGAGAACTGGCCGGGGACTACTTCAACGCTCTGGGGCCCCACCGCCACGAGCTGCTGCGGCAACACGTGAGACCGAGACCGAGACCCAGACCGAGACCGAGATCGAGACCCAGACCGAGACCCAGACCGAGACCGAGACCGAGACCCAGACCAAGTTGTTGGATTGTTCTTCACTTTCTTTAATGTTCTGTGATTATTTTAAATCTTTGACTGTTTCTAGTTCTGTCGGTCTGTTGTTTATGTACTGTTCCTCTCACTGGTCCCTGTGTTCCTCTCACTGGTCCCTGTGTTCCTCTCATTGGTCCTTGTGTTCCTCTCACTGGTCCCTGTGTTCCTCTCACTGGTCCCTGTGTTCCTCTCACTGGTCCCTGTGTTCCTCTCACTGGTCCCTGTGTTCCTCTCACTGGTCCCTGTGTTCCTCTCACTGGTCCCTGTGTTCCTCTCACTGGTCCCTGTGCTCCTCTCACTGGTCCCTGGTGTTCCTCTCACTGGTCCCTGTGTTCCTCTCACTGGTCCCTGTGTTCCTCTCACTGGTCCCTGTGTTCCTCTCACTGGTCCCTGTGTTCCTCTCACTGGTCCCTGTGAGCCTCTCACTGGTCCCTGTGTTCCTCTCACTGGTCCCTGTGTTCCTCTCACTGGTCCCTGTGTTCCTCTCATTGGTCCCTGTGTTCCTCTCACTGGTCCCTGTGTTCCTCTCACTGGTCCCTGTGTTCCTCTCACTGGTCCCTGTTTCCTCTCACTGGTCCCTGTGTTCCTCTCACTGGTCCCTGTGTTCCTCTCACTGGTCCCTGTGTTCCTCTCACTGGTCCCTGTGTTCCTCTCACTGGTCCCTGTGTTCCTCTCACTGGTCCCTGTGTTCCTCTCACTGGTCCCTGTGTTCCTCTCACTGGTCCCTGTGTTCCTCTCACTGGTCCCTGTGAGCCTCTCACTGGTCCCTGTGTTCCTCTCACTGGTCCCTGTGTTCCTCTCACTGGTCCCTGTGTTCCTCTCACTGGTCCCTGTGTTCCTCTCACTGGTCCCTGTGTTCCTCTCACTGGTCCCTGTGTGCCTCTCACTGGTCCCTGTGTTCCTCTCACTGGTCCCTGTGTGCCTCTCACTGGTCCCTGTGTTCCTCTCACTGGTCCCTGTGAGCCTCTCACTGGTCCCTGTGCGCCTCTCACTGGTCCCTGTGCTGCAGAGTTCCCGGTACCTGAGCGCCTCTCACTGGTCCCTGTGTTCCTCTCACTGGTCCCTGTGTTCCTCTCACTGGTCCCTGTGTTCCTCTCACTGGTCCCGGTGTTCCTCTCACTGGTCCCGGTGTTCCTCTCACTGGTCCCTGTGTTCCTCTCACTGGTCCCTGTGCGCCTCTCACTGGTCCCTGTGAGCCTCTCACTGGTCCCTGTGTTCCTCTCACTGGTCCCTGTGCGCCTCTCACTGGTCCCTGTGTTCTCTCACTGGTCCCTGTGTTCTGTGTGTTCCTCTCACTGGTCCCTGTGTTCCTCTCACTGGTCCCTGTGTGCCTCTCACTGGTCCCTGTGTCCTCTCACTGGTCCCTGTGCGCCTCTCACTGGTCCCTGTGAGCCTCTCACTGGTCCCTGTGTTCCTCTCACTGGTCCCTGTGTTCCTCTCACTGGTCCCTGTGTTCCTCTCACTGGTCCCTGTGTTCCTCTCACTGGTCCCTGTGTTCCTCTCACTGGTCCCTGTGCGCCTCTTACTGGTCCCTGTGTTCCTCTCACTGGTCCCTGTGTTCCTCTCACTGGTCCCTGTGTTCCTCTCACTGGTCCCTGTGTTCCTCTCACTGGTCCCTGTGTTCCTCTCACTGGTCCCTGTGTTCCTCTCACTGGTCCCTGTGTTCCTCTCACTGGTCCCTGTGCGCCTCTCACTGGTCCCTGTGTTTCTCTCACTGGTCCCTGTGAGCCTCTCACTGGTCCCTGTGTTCCTCTCACTGGTCCCTGTGTTCCTCTCACTGGTCCCTGTGTTCCTCTCACTGGTCCCTGTGTGCCTCTCACTGGTCACTGTGTTCCTCTCACTGGTCCCTGTGAGCCTCTCACTGGTCCCTGTGCGCCTCTCACTGGTCCCTGTGCTGCAGATTTCCCGGTACCTGAGCGCCTCTCACTGGTCCCTGTGTTCCTCTCACTGGTCCCTGTGTTCCTCTCACTGGTCCCTGTGTTCCTCTCACTGGTACCTGTGTTCCTCTCACTGGTCCCTGTGTTCCTCTCACTGGTCCCTGTGTTCCTCTCACTGGTCCCTGTGTTCCTCTCACTGGTCCCTGTGTTCCTCTCTCACTGGTCCCTGTGTTCCTCTCACTGGTCCCTGTGCGCCTCTCACTGGTCCCTGTGAGCCTCTCACTGGTCCCTGTGTTCCTCTCACTGGTCCCTGTGTTCCTCTCACTGGTCCCTGTGCGCCTCTCACTGGTCCCTGTGTTCCTCTCACTGGTCCCTGTGTTCCTCTCACTGGTCCCTGTGTTCCTCTCACTGGTCCCTGTGTTCCTCTCACTGGTCCCTGTGCGCCTCTCACTGGTCCCTGTGTTCCTCTCACTGGTCCCTGTGTTCCTCTCACTGGTCCCTGTGCGCCTCTCACTGGTCCCTGTGTTCCTCTCACTGGTCCCTGTGTTCCTCTCACTGGTCCCTGTGTTCCTCTCACTGGTCCTTGTGTTCCTCTCACTGGTCCCTGTGTTCCTCTCACTGGTCCCTGTGTTCCTCTCACTGGTCCCTGTGTTCCTCTCACTGGTCCCTGTGTTCCTCTCACTGGTCCCTGTGTTCCTCTCACTGGTCCCTGTGAGCCTCTCACTGGTCCCTGTGCGCCTCTCACTGGTCCCTGTGCTGCAGATTTCCCGGTACCTGAGCGCCTCTCACTGGTCCCTGTGTTCCTCTCACTGGTCCCTGTGTTCCTCTCACTGGTCCCTGTGTTCCTCTCACTGGTCCCTGTGTTCCTCTCACTGGTCCCGGTGTTCCTCTCACTGGTCCCTGTGTTCCTCTCACTGGTCCCTGTGTTCCTCTCACTGGTCCCTGTGCGCCTCTCACTGGTCCCTGTGTTCCTCTCACTGGTCCCTGTGCGCCTCTCACTGGTCCCTGTGTTCCTCTCACTGGTCCCTGTGTTCCTCTCACTGGTCCCTGTGTTCCTCTCACTGGTCCCTGTGTGCCTCTCACTGGTCCCTGTGTTCCTCTCACTGGTCCCTGTGTTCCTCTCACTGGTCCCTGTGTTCCTCTCACTGGTCCCTGTGTTCCTCTCACTGGTCCCTGTGTTCCTCTCACTGGTCCCTGTGTTCCTCTCACTGGTCCCTGTGTGCCTCTCACTGGTCCCTGTGTTCCTCTCACTGGTCCCTGTGTTCCTCTCACTGGTCCCTGTGTTCCTCTCACTGGTCCCTGTGTTCCTCTCACTGGTCCCTGTGTTCCTCTCACTGGTCCCTGTGTTCCTCTCACTGGTCCCTGTGTTCCTCTCACTGGTCCCTGTGCGCCTCTCACTGGTCCCTGTGTTCCTCTCACTGGTCCCTGTGTTCCTCTCACTGGTCCCTGTGCGCCTCTCACTGGTCCCTGTGAGCCTCTCACTGGTCCCTGTGTTCCTCTCACTGGTCCCTGTGTTCCTCTCACTGGTCCCTGTGTGCCTCTCACTGGTCCCTGTGTTCCTCTCACTGGTCCCTGTGTTCCTCTCACTGGTCCCTGTGAGCCTCTCACTGGTCCCTGTGCGCCTCTCACTGGTCCCTGTGCTGCAGATTTCCCGGTACCTGAGCGCCTCTCACTGGTCCCTGTGTTCCTCTCACTGGTCCCTGTGTTCCTCTCACTGGTCCCTGTGTTCCTCTCACTGGTCCCTGTGTTCCTCTCACTGGTCCCGGTGTTCCTCTCACTGGTCCCTGTGAGCCTCTCACTGGTCCCTGTGTTCCTCTCACTGGTCCCTGTGTTCCTCTCACTGGTCCCTGTGCGCCTCTCACTGGTCCCTGTGTTCCTCTCACTGGTCCCTGTGCGCCTCTCACTGGTCCCTGTGTTCCTCTCACTGGTCCCTGTGTTCCTCTCACTGGTCCCTGTGTTCCTCTCACTGGTCCCTGTGTGCCTCTCACTGGTCCCTGTGTTCCTCTCACTGGTCCCTGTGTTCCTCTCACTGGTCCCTGTGTTCCTCTCACTGGTCCCTGTGTTCCTCTCACTGGTCCCTGTGTTCCTCTCACTGGTCCCTGTGTGCCTCTCACTGGTCCCTGTGTTCCTCTCACTGGTCCCTGTGAGCCTCTCACTGGTCCCTGTGCGCCTCTCACTGGTCCCTGTGCTGCAGATTTCCCGGTACCTGAGCGCCTCTCACTGGTCCCTGTGTTCCTCTCACTGGTCCCTGTGTTCCTCTCACTGGTCCCTGTGTTCCTCTCACTGGTCCCGGTGTTCCTCTCACTGGTCCCGGTGTTCCTCTCACTGGTCCCTGTGTTCCTCTCACTGGTCCCTGTGCGCCTCTCACTGGTCCCTGTGAGCCTCTCACTGGTCCCTGTGTTCCTCTCACTGGTCCCTGTGTTCCTCTCACTGGTCCCTGTGCGCCTCTCACTGGTCCCTGTGTTCCTCTCACTGGTCCCTGTGCGCCTCTCACTGGTCCCTGTGAGCCTCTCACTGGTCCCTGTGTTCCTCTCACTGGTCCCTGTGTTCCTCTCACTGGTCCCTGTGTTCCTCTCACTGGTCCCTGTGTTCCTCTCACTGGTCCCTGTGTTCCTCTCACTGGTCCCTGTGCGCCTCTTACTGGTCCCTGTGTTCCTCTCACTGGTCCCTGTGTTCCTCTCACTGGTCCCTGTGTTCCTCTCACTGGTCCCTGTGTTCCTCTCACTGGTCCCTGTGTTCCTCTCACTGGTCCCTGTGTTCCTCTCACTGGTCCCTGTGTTCCTCTCACTGGTCCCTGTGTTCCTCTCACTGGTCCCTGTGCGCCTCTCACTGGTCCCTGTGTTTCTCTCACTGGTCCCTGTGAGCCTCTCACTGGTCCCTGTGTTCCTCTCACTGGTCCCTGTGTTCCTCTCACTGGTCCCTGTGTTCCTCTCACTGGTCCCTGTGTGCCTCTCACTGGTCACTGTGTTCCTCTCACTGGTCCCTGTGAGCCTCTCACTGGTCCCTGTGCGCCTCTCACTGGTCCCTGTGCTGCAGATTTCCCGGTACCTGAGCGCCTCTCACTGGTCCCTGTGTTCCTCTCACTGGTCCCTGTGTTCCTCTCACTGGTCCCTGTGTTCCTCTCACTGGTACCTGTGTTCCTCTCACTGGTCCCTGTGTTCCTCTCACTGGTCCCTGTGTTCCTCTCACTGGTCCCTGTGTTCCTCTCACTGGTCCCTGTGTTCCTCTCACTGGTCCCTGTGCGCCTCTCACTGGTCCCTGTGTTCCTCTCACTGGTCCCTGTGCGCCTCTCACTGGTCCCTGTGAGCCTCTCACTGGTCCCTGTGTTCCTCTCACTGGTCCCTGTGTTCCTCTCACTGGTCCCTGTGTTCCTCTCACTGGTCCCTGTGTTCCTCTCACTGGTCCCTGTGTTCCTCTCACTGGTCCCTGTGCGCCTCTTACTGGTCCCTGTGTTCCTCTCACTGGTCCCTGTGTTCCTCTCACTGGTCCCTGTGTTCCTCTCACTGGTCCCTGTGTTCCTCTCACTGGTCCCTGTGTTCCTCTCACTGGTCCCTGTGTTCCTCTCACTGGTCCCTGTGTTCCTCTCACTGGTCCCTGTGCGCCTCTCACTGGTCCCTGTGTTTCTCTCACTGGTCCCTGTGAGCCTCTCACTGGTCCCTGTGTTCCTCTCACTGGTCCCTGTGTTCCTCTCACTGGTCCCTGTGTTCCTCTCACTGGTCCCTGTGTGCCTCTCACTGGTCACTGTGTTCCTCTCACTGGTCCCTGTGAGCCTCTCACTGGTCCCTGTGCGCCTCTCACTGGTCCCTGTGCTGCAGATTTCCCGGTACCTGAGCGCCTCTCACTGGTCCCTGTGTTCCTCTCACTGGTCCCTGTGTTCCTCTCACTGGTCCCTGTGTTCCTCTCACTGGTCCCTGTGTTCCTCTCACTGGTACCTGTGTTCCTCTCACTGGTCCCTGTGTTCCTCTCACTGGTCCCTGTGTTCCTCTCACTGGTCCCTGTGTTCCTCTGGTTCCTCTCACTGGTCCCTGTGTTCCTCTCACTGGTCCCTGTGTTCCTCTCACTGGTCCCTGTGTTCCTCTCACTGGTCCCTGTGTTCCTCTCACTGGTCCCTGTGTTCCTCTCACTGGTCCCTGTGTTCCTCTCACTGGTCCCTGTGTTCCTCTCACTGGTCCCTGTGTTCCTCTCACTGGTCCCTGTGTTCCTCTCACTGGTCCCTGTGTTCCTCTCACTGGTCCCTGTGTTCCTCTCACTGGTCCCTGTGTTCCTCTCACTGGTCCCTGTGTTCCTCTCACTGGTCCCTGTGTTCCTCTCACTGGTCCCTGTGTTCCTCTCACTGGTCCCTGTGTTCCTCTCACTGGTCCCCTGTGTTCCTCTCATGTCCCTGTGTTCCTCCACTGGTCCCTGTGTTCCTCTCACTGGTCCCTGTGTTCCTCTCACTGGTCCCTGTGTTCCTCTCACTGGTCCTGTGTTCCTCTCACTGGTCCCTGTGTTCCTCTCACTGGTCCCTGTGTTCCTCTCACTGGTCCCTGTGTTCCTCTCACTGGTCCCTGTGAGCCTCTCACTGGTCCCTGTGCCTCACTGTCCTGTGCGCCTCTCACTGGTCCCTGTGTGCCTCTCACTGGTCCCTGTGTTCCTCTCACTGGTCCCTGTGTTCCTCTCACTGGTCCCTGTGTTCCTCTCACTGGTCCCTGTGTTCCTCTCACTGGTCCCTGTGTTCCTCTCACTGGTCCCTGTGGCCTCTCACTGGTCCCTGTGTTCCTCTCACTGGTCCCTGTGTTCCTCCACTGTCCTGTGTCCTCTCACTGGTCCCTGTGTCCTCTCCCTGTGTTCCTCTCACTGGTCCCTGTGTTCCTCTCACTGGTCCCCTGGTGTCCTCTCCTGGTCCCTGTGTCTCTCACTGGTCCCTGTGTTCCTCTCACTGGTCCCTGTGTTCCTCTCACTGGTCCCTGTGTTCCTCTCACTGGTCCCTGTGTTCCCTGTGGTCCTTCCTCACTGGTCCCTGTGTTCCTCTCACTGGTCCCTGTGTTCCTCTCACTGGTCCCTGTGTTCCTCTCACTGGTCCCTGTGTTCCTCTCACTGGTCCCGTCCTCTCACTGGTCCCTGTGTTCCTCTCACTGGTCCCTGTGAGCCTCTCACTGGTCCCTGTGCGCCTCTCACTGGTCCCTGTGCTGCTCTCACTGGTCCTGTGCGCCTCTCACTGGTCCCTGTGGCCTCTCACTGGTCCCTGTGCTCGATTCCCGGTCCTGAGCCTCTCACTGGTCCCTGTGTTCCTCTCACTGGTCCCTGTGTTCCTCTCACTGGTCCCTGTGTTCCTCTCACTGGTCCCTGTGTTCCTCTCACTGGTCCCGGTGTTCCTCTCACTGGTCCCTGTGTTCCTCTCACTGGTCCCTGTGTTCCTCTCACTGGTCCCTGTGCGCCTCTCACTGGTCCCTGTGTTCCTCTCACTGGTCCCTGTGGCTCTCCTGGTCCCTGTGTTCCTCTCACTGGTCCCTGTGTTCCTCTCACTGGTCCCTGTGTGTCCTCTCACTGGTCCCTGTGTTCCTCTCACTGGTCCCTGTGTTCCTCTCACTGGTCCCTGTGTTCCTCTCACTGGTCCCTGTGTTCCTCTCACTGGTCCCTGTGTTCCTCTCACTGGTCCCTGTGTTCCTCTCACTGGTCCCTGTGTTCCTCTCACTGGTCCCTGTGTTCCTCTCACTGGTCCCTGTGTTCCTCTCACTGGTCCCTGTGTTCCTCCTCTCACTGGTCCCTGTGTTCCTCTCACTGTCCCTGTGTCTCTCACTGTCCCTGTGTTCCTCTCACTGGTCCCTGTGCGTCCCTGTGCCTCTCACTGGTCCCTGTGTTCCTCTCACTGGTCCCTGTGTTCCTCTCACTGGTCCCTGTGCGCCTCTCACTGGTCCCTGTGTTCCTCTCACTGGTCCCTGTGTTCCTCTCACTGGTCCCTGTGTTCCTCTCACTGGTCCCTGTGTTCCTCTCACTGGTCCCTGTGTTCCTCTCACTGGTCCCTGTGTTCCTCTCACTGGTCCCTGTGTTCCTCTCACTGGTCCCTGTGTTCCTCTCACTGGTCCCTGTGCCTCTCACTGGTCCCTGTGGCCTCTCACTGGTCCCTTGGTGCTGCAGATTTCCCGTACTGAGGCCTCTCACTGGTCCCTGTGTTCCTCTCACTGGTCCCTGTGTTCCTCTCACTGGTCCCTGTGTTCCTCTCACTGGTCCCTGTGTTCCTCTCACTGGTCCCTGTGTTCCTCTCACTGGTCCCTGTGAGCCTCTCACTGGTCCCTGTGTTCCTCTCACTGGTCCCTGTCCTCTCACTGGTCCCTGTGTTCCTCTCACTGGTCCCTGTGTTCCTCTCACTGGTCCCTGTGTTCCTCTCACTGGTCCCTGTGTTCCTCTCACTGGTCCTGTGTTCTCACTGGTCCCTGTGTTCCTCTCACTGGTCCCTGTGTTCCTCTCACTGGTCCCTGTGTTCCTCTCACTGGTCCCTGTGTTCCTCTCACTGGTCCCTGTGTTCCTCTCACTGGTCCCTGTGTTCCTCTCACTGGTCCCTGTGTTCCTCTCACTGGTCCCTGTGTTCCTCTCACTGGTCCCTGTGTTCCTCTCACTGGTCCCTGTGTCTCTCCTCCTCTCTGGTCCCTGTGTTCCTCTCACTGGTCCCTGTGTTCCTCTCACTGGTCCCTGTGTTCCTCTCACTGGTCGGCCCTGTGTTCCTCTCACTGGTCCCTGTGCGCCTCTCACTGGTCCCTGTGTTCCTCTCACTGGTCCCTGTGTTCCTCTCACTGGTCCCTGTGCGCCTCTCACTGGTCCCTGTGTTTCCTCTCACTGGTCCCTGTGTTCCTCTCACTGGTCCCTGTGTTCCTCTCACTGGTCCCTGTGTTCCTCTCACTGGTCCCTGTGTTCCTCTCACTGGTCCCTGTGCGCCTCTCACTGGTCCCTGTGTTCCTCTCACTGGTCCCTGTGTTCCTCTCACTGGTCCCTGTGGCCTCTCACTGGTCCCTGTGTTCCTCTCACTGGTCCCTGTGTTCCTCTCACTGGTCCCTGTGTTCCTCTCACTGGTCCCTGTGCGCCTCTCACTGGTCCCCTGTGTTCCTCTCACTGGTCCCTGTGTTCCTCTCACTGGTCCCTGTGCGCCTCTCACTGGTCCCTGTGCTGCAGATTTCCCGGTACCTGAGCGCCTTCCTGTTGGACAGTGGAGTGAAGCTGGAGTCATGTGATCGATACTCGTCTGAGACCAACGGGGCCAAGATCACGGCCACGAGACACTGGTATTTATCTCCTTGTGTTTGATGATTAAAGCTGAGGTACGCAACTTTTCATTTGCACTTATCCATCAAAGAGTCAAAGTAACATTATGTCATAGGTAATCGTTTTTCCCATTTCTAACAAACCCACAGGAATCTGGAAACTAAAGCTTTGTGGGATTCACTTTATTCTTGGATCGCCCTAAATCACAAGTTTACAAAACTGTTGATTTCTCCAACGCAGATCAGAGAATCAAACACAGACACATAGATCCATAGATCCATAGATCCATCAGGGTTAGGGTTAACCCATCAGGGCAGAGAGATAGATGTCATTCCACTGGGACAGGACACAGGGAGCACACAACATTTACAATATGGAGGGTGAATAAGTCTGTCACTGAAGCTGCTCTCCAGAGCAGACTGTGTGTCCTGCAGGGGGCGATGTGGTGGTTGATGGTTGCAGGTTCGTGGGGGAGCGGGTGGAGGTGCTGTGTGGTTGATGGTATGGTGGTTGATGGTTGCAGGTTCGTGGGGGAGCGGGTGGAGGTCCTCTTGGGCTGCATCGCCGAGCTGAGTCCCGGGGACAGTGCGGTGCTTCGAGCCGGAGTGAACGACTTCAGCGTTATGTATTCCACACGCAAACGCTGCGCTCAGCTGTGGCTCGGACCAGCCGCGTTCATCAACCACGGTCAGTGCTACTCACCGGGCATTTCAAACTACTCACCGGGCATTTCAAACTCACCGCTGCAAAATATGGTCATCACAAAAGGCCATTTTTCAATTGGTTTTTATTCAAGTTTGACCAAAACGAAGCAAAAATGCTGTCACTTGAGATCCACTTCATAGAGACGAGTTGTACCAGAATATGTTGGTTTGATGAAAACACATTTCCACTTTATTTGGAAGTGATTACTGCTCTAAAAAAACCAAGCAAGTTTCTATGTGTACACGGCTAAAAACTGTACCATTTACTAAATTACTCCACAATTATTCATATACAGATACATTACATAGATCAAAGATGTACTGTAGAGGCAATGGTCACGTCAAGTTAAAATTTAATGCATTAAAAAATATTTGTATTATTATTATTAAAAAAAGGAACCAAGTTTAGACAATAAAACATGATAAAACAAACAGCAACAACACAAAACAGGATAATAAATACAGAAAGGAAGAAAAAAAAAAGAAAAATTGGTCTTAAAAAGTTAAATCCATTGTTCTAAGCCTTTACATGTTAATTTCTTAAGTAATGAATTGTGTTCATCAAATCTTCCTGTCGCTGCTCGTTTTCAAAGATCTTTGATAAAATACATGAATGTGATGCAGATGAGTGACTGTTTAACCCTGTTTCTATGTGTGCCTGCTGCTGCCCCCTGCTGGCTGGACTGAAGACTGCAAGCCCAACTGCAAGGTAATCAATAAATCAAACTAAATGTTTGTAACGACCATTTTGACACAGTTTTGTTGGTGTAAAGTCAGGGACGATCTAGGGTGGAAATATTTTACTCATAATAATATTACCTGCTTATTTATCAATTAATTAATCAATGTTTTAAGCAAAAACATAGTAAATTACATAACGTTTTTTAAGCCAAATTGTTGAAAAAGGATCTTGACACAGTTTTTGAGATTTGTTCTAATTATAATACATAGTTTAATTTGGAAGAAAACTGTACAAACCCAGATAAATGTCCCACACGGGGACGAAGGCCCGGCGCTCGACCTGCGCTGCGCTGCAGATGAAGGTTCTGTTCTTTAACCCGTGGGCTCTGCAGATGAAGGTTCTGTTCTTTAAACCGTGGGCGCTGCAGATGAAGGTTCTGTTCTTTAAACCGTGGGCGCTGCAGATGAAGGTTCTGTTCTTTAAACCGTGGGCGCTGCAGATGAAGGTTCTGTTCTTTAAACCATGGGGGCCGCAGATGAAGGTTCTGTTCTTTAACCCGTGGGCGCTGCAGATGAAGGTTCTGTTCTTTAAACCGTGGGGGCCGCAGATGAAGGTTCTGTTCTTTAAACCGTGGGGGCCGCAGATGAAGGTTCTGTTCTTTAAACCCTGGGGGCCGCAGATGAAGGTTCTGTTCTTTAACCCGTGGGCGCTGCAGATGAAGGTTCTGTTCTTTAACCCGTGGGCGCTGCAGATGAAGGTTCTGTTCTTTAACCCGTGGGCGCTGCAGATGAAGGTTCTGTTCTTTAAACCGTGGGGGCCGCAGATGAAGGTTCTGTTCTTAAACCGTGGGCGCCGCAGATGAAGGTTCTGTTCTTTAACCCGTGGGCGCCGCAGATGAAGGTTCTGTTCTTTAACCCGTGGGCGCTGCAGATGAAGGTTCTGTTCTTTAACCCGTGGGCGCCGCAGATGAAGGTTCTGTTCTTTAACCCGTGGGCGCTGCAGATGAAGGTTCTGTTCTTTAAACCGTGGGGGCCGCAGATGAAGGTTCTGTTCTTTAAACCGTGGGGGCCGCAGATGAAGGTTCTGTTCTTTAACCCGTGGGGGCCGCAGATGAAGGTTCTGTTCTTTAACCCGTGGGCGCCGCAGATGAAGGTTCTGTTCTTTAACCCGTGGGCGCTGCAGATGAAGGTTCTGTTCTTTAACCCGTGGGCGCTGCAGATGAAGGTTCTGTTCTTTAACCCGTGGGCGCCGCAGATGAAGGTTCTGTTCTTTAAACCGTGGGCGCTGCAGATGAAGGTTCTGTTCTTTAAACCGTGGGCGCTGCAGATGAAGGTTCTGTTCTTTAACCCGGGCGCTGCAGATGAAGGTTCTGTTCTTTAACCTGTGGGCGCTGCAGATGAAGGTTCTGTTCTTTAACCCGTGGGCGCTGCAGATGAAGGTTCTGTTCTTTAACCCGTGGGCGCTGCAGATAAAGGTTCTGTTCTTTAACCCGTGGGCGCTGCAGATGAAGGTTCTGTTCTTTAACCCGTGGGCGCCGCAGATGAAGGTTCTGTTCTTTAAACCGTGGGCGCTGCAGATGAAGGTTCTGTTCTTTAACCCTGTGGGCGCTGCAGATGAAGGTTCTGTTCTTTAACCCGTCGGCGCTGCAGATGAAGGTTCTGTTCTTTAACCCGTGGGCGCCGCAGATGAAGGTTCTGTTCTTTAACCCGTGGGCGCTGCAGATGAAGGTTCTGTTCTTTAACCCGTGGGCGCCGCAGATGAAGGTTCTGTTCTTTAACCCGTGGGCGCTGCGATGAAGGTTCTGTTCTTTAAACCGTGGGCGCTGCAGATGAAGGTTCTGTTCTTTAACCCGTGGGCGCTGCAGATGAAGGTTCTGTTCTTTAACCCGTGGGCGCTGCAGATGAAGGTTCTGTTCTTTAACCCGTGGGCGCTGCAGATGAAGGTTCTGTTCTTTAACCCGTGGGCGCTGCAGATGAAGGTTCTGTTCTTTAACCCGTGGGCGCTGCAGATGAAGGTTCTGTTCTTTAACCCGTGGGGGCTGCAGATGAAGGTTCTGTTCTTTAACCCGTGGGGGCCGCAGATGAAGGTTCTGTTCTTTAACCCGTGGGCGCCGCAGATGAAGATTCTGTTCTTTAAACCGTGGGCGCTGCAGATGAAGGTTCTGTTCTTTAAACCGTGGGCGCCGCAGATGAAGGTTCTGTTCTTTAACCCGTGGGCGCTGCAGATGAAGGTTCTGTTCTTTAACCTGTGGGCGCTGCAGATGAAGGTTCTGTTCTTTAAACCTGTGGGCGCTGCAGATGAAGGTTCTGTTCTTTAACCCGTGGGGGCCGCAGATGAAGGTTCTGTTCTTTAACCCGTGGGCGCCGCAGATGAAGGTTCTGTTCTTTAACCCGTGGGCGCTGCAGATGAAGGTTCTGTTCTTTAACCCGTGGGGGCTGCAGATGAAGGTTCTGTTCTTTAACCCGTGGGCGCCGCAGATGAAGGTTCTGTTCTTTAACCTGTGGGCGCTGCAGATGAAGGTTCTGTTCTTTAACCCGTGGGCGCCGCAGATGAAGGTTCTGTTCTTTAACCCGTGGGCGCTGCAGATGAAGGTTCTGTTCTTTAACCCGTGGGCGCCGCAGATGAAGGTTCTGTTCTTTAACCCGTGGGCGCTGCAGATGAAGGTTCTGTTCTTTAACCTGTGGGCGCTGCAGATGAAGGTTCTGTTCTTTAACCTGTGGGCGCTGCCGATGAAGGTTCTGTTCTTTAAACCGTGGGCGCTGCAGATGAAGGTTCTGTTCTTTAACCCGTGGGCGCCGCAGATGAAGGTTCTGTTCTTTAACCCGTGGGCGCTGCAGATGAAGGTTCTGTTCTTTAACCCGTGGGCGCTGCAGATGAAGGTTCTGTTCTTTAACCCGTGGGCGCTGCAGATGAAGGTTCTGTTCTTTAACCCGTGGGCGCCGCAGATGAAGGTTCTGTTCTTTAACCCGTGGGCGCTGCAGATGAAGGTTCTGTTCTTTAACCTGTGGGCGCTGCAGATGAAGGTTCTGTTCTTTAACCTGTGGGCGCTGCAGATGAAGGTTCTGTTCTTTAACCTGTGGGCGCTGCCGATGAAGGTTCTGTTCTTTAAACCGTGGGCGCTGCAGATGAAGGTTCTGTTCTTTAACCCGTGGGCGCCGCAGATGAAGGTTCTGTTCTTCAACCCGTGGGCGCTGCAGATGAAGGTTCTGTTCTTTAACCCGTGGGCGCTGCAGATGAAGGTTCTGTTCTTTAACCCGTGGGCGCTGCAGATGAAGGTTCTGTTCTTTAACCCGTGGGCGCTGCAGATGAAGGTTCTGTTCTTTAACCCGTGGGGGCCGCAGATGAAGGTTCTGTTCTTTAAACCGTGGGCGCTGCAGATGAAGGTTCTGTTCTTTAACCCGTGGGCGCTGCAGATGAAGGTTCTGTTCTTTAACCCGTGGGCGCCGCAGATGAAGGTTCTGTTCTTTAACCCGTGGGCGCTGCAGATGAAGGTTCTGTTCTTTAACCCGTGGGCGCTGCAGATGAAGGTTCTGTTCTTTAACCCGTGGGCGCTGCAGATGAAGGTTCTGTTCTTTAACCCGTGGGCGCTGCAGATGAAGGTTCTGTTCTTTAACCCTGGGGGCCGCAGATGAAGGTTCTGTTCTTTAACCCGTGGGCGCTGCAGATGAAGGTTCTGTTCTTTAACCCGTGGGGGCCGCAGATGAAGGTTCTGTTCTTTAACCCGTGGGCGCCGCAGATGAAGGTTCTGTTCTTTAACCCGTGGGCGCTGCAGATGAAGGTTCTGTTCTTTAAAACGTGGGCGCTGCAGATGAAGGTTCTGTTCTGTAACCCGTGGGCGCCGCAGATGAAGGTTCTGTTCTTTAACCCGTGGGCGCCGCAGATGAAGGTTTTGTTCTTTAAACCGTGGGCGCTGCAGATGAAGGTTCTGTTCTTTAAACCGTGGGCGCCGCAGATGAAGGTTCTGTTCTTTAACCCGTGGGCGCTGCAGATGAAGGTTCTGTTCTTTAACCTGTGGGCGCTGCAGATGAAGGTTCTGTTCTTTAAACCGTGGGCGCTGCAGATGAAGGTTCTGTTCTTTAAACCGTGGGCGCCGCAGATGAAGGTTCTGTTCTTAAACCGTGGGCGCCGCAGATGAAGGTTCTGTTCTTTAACCCGTGGGGGCTGCAGAATAAGGTTCTGTTCTTTAACCCGTGGGCGTTGCAGATGAAGGTTCTGTTCTTTAACCCGTGGGCGCTGCAGATGAAGGTTCTGTTCTTTAACCCGTGGGCGCCGCAGATGAAGGTTCTGTTCTTTAACCCGTGGGCGCTGCAGATGAAGGTTCTGTTCTTTAACCTGTGGGCGCTGCAGATGAAGGTTCTGTTCTTTAACCCGTGGGCGCTGCAGATGAAGGTTCTGTTCTTTAACCCGTGGGCGCTGCAGATGAAGGTTCTGTTCTTTAACCCGTGGGCGCTGCAGATGAAGGTTCTGTTCTTTAACCCGTGGGCGCTGCAGATGAAGGTTCTGTTCTTTAACCCGTGGGCGCTGCAGATGAAGGTTCTGTTCTTTAACCCGTGGGCGCCGCAGATGAAGGTTCTGTTCTTTAACCCGTGGGCGCTGCAGATGAAGGTTCTGTTCTTTAACCTATGGGCGCTGCAGATGAAGGTTCTGTTCTTTAACCTGTGGGCGCTGCAGATGAAGGTTCTGTTCTTTAACCTGTGGGCGCTGCCGATGAAGGTTCTGTTCTTTAAACCGTGGGCGCTGCAGATGAAGGTTCTGTTCTTTAACCCGTGGGCGCCGCAGATGAAGGTTCTGTTCTTCAACCCGTGGGCGCTGCAGATGAAGGTTCTGTTCTTTAACCCGTGGGCGCTGCAGATGAAGGTTCTGTTCTTTAAACCGTCACAGATGAAGGTTCAGTTCTTTAAACCGTCGCAGATGAAGGTTCTGTTCTTTAACCCGTGGGCGCTGCAGATGAAGGTTCTGTTCTTTAACCCGTGGGCGCTGCAGATGAAGGTTCTGTTCTTTAACCCAAGGGCGCTGCAGATGAAGGTTCTGTTCTTTAACCTGTGGGGGCCGCAGATGAAGGTTCTGTTCTTTAACCCGTGGGCGCTGCAGATGAAGGTTCTGTTCTTTAAACCGTGGGCGCTGCAGATGAAGGTTCTGTACTTTAACCCGTGGGCGCTGCAGATGAAGGTTCTGTTCTTTAACCCGTGGGCGCCGCAGATGAAGGTTCTGTTCTTTAACCCGTGGGCGCTGCAGATGAAGGTTCTGTTCTTTAACCTGTGGGCGCTGCAGATGAAGGTTCTGTTCTTTAACCCGTGGGCGCCGCAGATGAAGGTTCTGTTCTTTAACCCGTGGGCGCTGCAGATGAAGGTTCTGTTCTTTAACCCGTGCGCGCCGCAGATGAAGGTTCTGTTCTTTAACCCGTGGGCGCTGCAGATGAAGGTTCTGTTCTTTAACCCGTGGGCGCTGCAGAATAAGGTTCTGTTCTTTAACCCGTGGGCGCTGCAGATGAAGGTTCTGTTCTTTAACCCGTGGGCGCTGCAGATGAAGGTTCTGTTCTTTAACCCGTGGGCGCCGCAGATGAAGGTTCTGTTCTTTAACCTGTGGGCGCTGCAGATGAAGGTTCTGTTCTTTAAACCGTGGGCGCTGCAGATGAAGGTTCTGTTCTTTAAACCATGGGCGCCGCAGATGAAGGTTCTGTTCTTTAACCTGTGGGCGCTGTAGATGAAGGTTCTGTTCTTTAACCCGTGGGCGCTGCAGATGAAGGTTCTGTACTTTAACCCGTGGGCGCTGCAGATGAAGGTTCTGTTCTTTAAACCGTGGGCGCTGCAGATGAAGGTTCTGTACTTTAACCCGTGGGCGCTGCAGATGAAGGTTCTGTTCTTTAAACCGTCGCAGATGAAGGTTCAGTTCTTTAAACCGTCGCAGATGAAGGTTCTGTTCTTTAACCCGTGGGCGCTGCAGATGAAGGTTCTGTTCTTTAACCCGTGGGCGCTGCAGATGAAGGTTCTGTTCTTTAACCTGTGGGGGCTGCAGATGAAGGTTCTGTTCTTTAACCCGTGGGCGCTGCAGATAAAGGTTCTGTTCTTTAACCCGTGGGCGCTGCAGATGAAGGTTCTGTTCTTTAACCCGTGGGCGCTGCAGATGAAGGTTCTGTTCTTTAACCCGTGGGCGCTGCAGATGAAGGTTCTGTTCTTTAACCCGTGGGCGCTGCAGATGAAGGTTCTGTTCTTTAACCCGTGGGCGCTGCAGATGAAGGTTCTGTTCTTTAACCCGTGGGCGCCGCAGATGAAGGTTCTGTTCTTTAACCCGTGGGCGCTGCAGATGAAGGTTCTGTTCTTTAACCTATGGGCGCTGCAGATGAAGGTTCTGTTCTTTAACCTGTGGGCGCTGCAGATGAAGGTTCTGTTCTTTAACCTGTGGGCGCTGCCGATGAAGGTTCTGTTCTTTAAACCGTGGGCGCTGCAGATGAAGGTTCTGTTCTTTAACCCGTGGGCGCCGCAGATGAAGGTTCTGTTCTTTAACCCGTGGGCGCTGCAGATGAAGGTTCTGTTCTTTAACCTGTGGGCGCTGCCGATGAAGGTTCTGTTCTTTAAACCGTGGGCGCTGCAGATGAAGGTTCTGTTCTTTAACCCGTGGGCGCCGCAGATGAAGGTTCTGTTCTTTAAACCGTGGGCGCTGCAGATGAAGGTTCTGTTCTTTAACCCGTGGGCGCTGCAGATGAAGGTTCTGTTCTTTAACCCGTGGGCGCTGCAGATGAAGGTTCTGTTCTTTAAACCGTCACAGATGAAGGTTCAGTTCTTTAAACCGTCGCAGATGAAGGTTCTGTTCTTTAACCCGTGGGCGCTGCAGATGAAGGTTCTGTTCTTTAACCCGTGGGCGCTGCAGATGAAGGTTCTGTTCTTTAACCAAGGGCGCTGCAGATGAAGGTTCTGTTCTTTAACCTGTGGGGGCCGCAGATGAAGGTTCTGTTCTTTAACCCGTGGGCGCTGCAGATGAAGGTTCTGTTCTTTAAACCGTGGGCGCTGCAGATGAAGGTTCTGTACTTTAACCCGTGGGCGCTGCAGATGAAGGTTCTGTTCTTTAACCCGTGGGCGCCGCAGATGAAGGTTCTGTTCTTTAACCCGTGGGCGCTGCAGATTAAGGTTCTGTTCTTTAACCTGTGGGCGCTGCAGATGAAGGTTCTGTTCTTTAACCCGTGGGCGCCGCCAGGAGTTTGTTCTTACGTGCAGATGAAGGTTCTGTTCTTTAACCCGTGGGCGCTGCAGATGAAGGTTCTGTTCTTTAACCCGTGCGCGCCGCAGATGAAGGTTCTGTTCTTTAACCCGTGTGCGCTGCAGATGAAGGTTCTGTTCTTTAACCCGTGGGCGCTGCAGAATAAGGTTCTGTTCTTTAACCCGTGGGCGCTGCAGATGAAGGTTCTGTTCTTTAACCCGTGGGCGCTGCAGATGAAGGTTCTGTTCTTTAACCCGTGGGCGCCGCAGATGAAGGTTCTGTTCTTTAACCTGTGGGCGCTGCAGATGAAGGTTCTGTTCTTTAAACCGTGGGCGCTGCAGATGAAGGTGTCTTAAACCGTGGGCGCTGCAGATGAAGGTTCTGTTCTTTAACCTGTGGGCGCTGCAGATGAAGGTTCTGTTCTTTAACCCGTGGGCGCTGCAGATGAAGGTTCTGTACTTTAACCCGTGGGCGCTGCAGATGAAGGTTCTGTTCTTTAAACCGTGGGCGCTGCAGATGAAGGTTCTGTACTTTAACCCGTGGGCGCTGCAGATGAAGGTTCTGTTCTTTAACCCGTGGGCGCTGCAGATGAAGGTTCTGTTCTTTAACCCGTGGGCGCTGCAGATGAAGGTTCTGTTCTTTAACCCGTGGGCGCTGCAGATGAAGGTTCTGTTCTTTAACCCGTGGGCGCTGCAGATGAAGGTTCTGTTCTTTAACCCGTGGGCGCTGCAGATGAAGGTTCTGTTCTTTAACCCGTGGGCGCTGCAGATGAAGGTTCTGTTCTTTAACCCGTGGGCGCTGCAGATGAAGGTTCTGTTCTTTAACCCGTGGGCGCTGCAGATGAAGGTTCTGTTCTTTAAACCGTGGGCGCTGCAGATGAAGGTTCTGTTCTTTAACCCGTGGGCGCTGCAGATGAAGGTTCTGTACTTTAACCTGTGGGCGCTGCAGATGAAGGTTCTGTTCTTTAAACCGTCGCAGATGAAGGTTCTGTTCTTTAAACCGTGGGCGCCGCAAACTAAACTTCCTCCAGTAAAGCTTGGAGATGGGGTCCCACTGAGTACAGAGCTTTAGGGAAGTCCTTTTTCACAAAGATAAACATAGTGCATTTCATCTGTGGTGAAAACAATAATAAATATAAGATGCTGCTTCTAGTCCAAAAAACTGTGTAATTGTTATTCACATCCCTGAATATCATACTAATAATTAGGTTTATGTCTATGTAAGGTTAAAAAAGTACAGATTATTTGATTATTCAAATAAATGATTCATGTGTGAAATGAAATACGCACAGAAGTCATAACATTTACCATAATTACTCCTGTATTTTCTATAATGACCACAATCCAAACATAACCCACTTGAACCCACGCCCTCGCCATCTGGCTCCTCTCTCTGGGGTCTCATCTATTCTTTGTTTTTTACCGTCTCTTGTTTTTTTGCCCAGTTTGTCCCCAGTGAGAAGAACGTGGCGTGTGTGGAAGTCGTCCGCCCAATCGCACCCGGCGAGGAGATCACCTGCTACTACGGGGCCAGCTTCTTTGGAGAGGGAAACGAGATGTGTGAATGCTGCACCTGCGAACGGTTAGCTACAAACCACTAGCATACAGCATGAAAACAAGCTAACATTGTTTTCAGACTTCTTCCTGTTTTGATTGAATAACTTTTTTTCCATTCACCTGTTTAATATTATTGTAATTCACGCTTGTGTGTTTTAAGGAATGGCGAGGGGCATTTCAAGCAGCGCGGGAAGAAGCCGGATTCAGAGGAGACGAAGGATTCGCAGACGTACCGACTGAGGGAACGATACCTCCACAAACATCGAGAGAAAGGGCATTTGAATCGGCAGATCACACCTGGAGCTCACACAGGTACTGGTCCAATGTGATTATTCCAAGTTTGCCACAACATATTTGTACAATTTCAACATCAAACCAGTAAGAATGCTCTACAACAGAGCCATAAAAATACTGGACAAAAAGCCAATAAGAACACACCATTGCCAGGTGTTGCAGAGACTACATTTTCTTAGTTTTGATAATTTTATTAAATTTTGTAATTGTAAATTATTGTACAAATGTTTGCACAGTCGGGCCCCTGCTGTCCTGAGTGCTCTCTTAGTTCCTCTGAGATCCGTCACACGGGGCTCCTCTAACGGGAATGTGAAAGTGCCCCTCAGGAGAACCACATTCGGACAGTCGGTCTTCTCGGTCCAGGGGGCAAAGCTCTGGAACTCTTTAAGCCCTCAGCTAAAACTGAACTCTGACTGGGCTGGTTTTAAACATGAACTAAAGCGATTTCTTAAAACAAACCAGGTGTGTGAGCATCAATGAGTTGGAGAACATCTGCTTTTATATAATGTGAATTTTATAATGTATAATGTGTTTTAATTGTGTTAAAAGCCCTCCTAGGGACGGACATTGCAAACTAGCCTTGGCTATAAATGTTGTAGTGTTTCACATGTTGATTGTGTTCACTTGTCCCTATCAAATAAATAAATAAATAAGTCTAATTACATGCTTTAGTTCCAACTTACACTTGCGAAGTCCATGTTGGGTCTTAAATTTCACTTAAAAACAACAGTTTGAACAGGGACAGTACACATTAATAAACATGACTGTATAATGCTAGCAAAGGCATTATACAAGTGTGTGTGTGTGTATTTTATATGTATATTGTAAAAATATTACAATATACATACATCAATATAGAAGTTAGAGACTGGAGCTCTGCGGGGACAGAGCGGTTATGACAGAGGAAAAAGCCAAAAATGTGAAGAGATGAGAA